ATGAATGCAGGAGAGCCAATGGGCGCTGCACTGGCAAAGGATGCAGGAGGCAAGAGCGTGAGCTTCCCGGTGGATGTGGTCGCAGCCATTGCAAATGTTGCATACGTGATGAAAGTAAGTGGCTATAATTTTTCTTTAGTTTTATCATTATTTTCATTTATTCGGAAGAGAATCGCGTCAGTAGTAAAAATGGAAGATAGATAGAGAGATATCTAGATAGAAAGATATATAAAGACAGATAACAATCAGCGACGATATGTTAGGAAAAGTGAAAATCGGATCTTGTCGGAAAGGACTGCGTCGACCGGAATGATCCTCCTCTCCCACGTGGAAAGTGAAGCTCTCTTCCTCTCCTCAGAATGCACGGCGAATCAGAGATGCACAAGGAGGAATGGATCCTGCTCAAGGAGGTCCTGTGGGAGCGGAGAGATGGAGATTTACGGAGGCTGCGACGGTGCAAGATGCCACTGCTGCGCTCCTGAAGACAAGAAAGGTGAGTCCATATATATATATATATATATATATATATATATATATATAATATATATATATATATATATATGGAGAGGGAGGTGGGGCGGGGCTGGGAGGTGGGTTTTGCTTTGGGTTTATATCTCTTCTCTCTCTATTCCTCTCAATCTTTTACTTCTTTCTGTCTGTCTCTTTTTCTTTCTCACTCCCTGTCTCGTCGTCTTCCTCAATCTCTTTCTCTATCTCTCTGACTCTCTCTTTCTCGCCTCTTAATCTGCGAAGGTAAGGCAGTAGTTAAAATGGAAGATAGACTATATATATATATATATATATATATATATATATATATATATATATATATATAATATATATATGTGTGTGTGTGTGTGTGTATATACACATATATATCCATATATAGAGAGACATGTATCTAGAGAGAAAGAAAGATATACAGATCGATAACAATTAGTCCTGATATGCTACGATAAGTGAAAATCGGATCTTGTTAGAAAAGATTGCGTCGACCGAATGATCCTCCTCTCCCACGTGGAAAGTGAAGCTCTCTTCCTCTCCTCAGAATGCACGGCGAATCAGAGATGCACAAGGAGGAATGGATCCTGCTCAAGGAGGTCCTGTGGGAGCGGAGAGAGGAGATTTACGGAGGCTGCGACGGTGCAAGATGCCACTGCTGCGCTCCAAAGACAAGAAAGGTGAGTCCATTGCTTGGGACGATACTATATATATATATATATATATATATATATATATATATATATATATATATATATATCACAAATTGCAATTCAGAGGCGCCGCCCGAAAAGGTGATGCATGTACCTACGCCCGCTATATTTAAAGGGAAAGCAAAATCTGAAACCATGCCCAATCATCTCTATTCCATCATAGCCTTCCATAACACCCACGATCATCTCCCTAACCCATTCCGTTGTTTAAAGGTGTTTAAGGGGTATATAAGGGGTCTATACGGGGTATACGAGTACTCAAACCATATCGATTTATCTCATATCTCATTTACTTTGTTATAGCTTTCCATAACACCCTGGATCACCTCTGTAAACCTTGCCGTTGTTTAGGGGTGAATTTAAGGGATCTTTAAGGGGTCTATAAGGGGTATGAAATTTTCATACCACACCCAGTCTAATTTAGTAACTTACTCTGTGAAAGGTTTTCATAGCACTAAATAAACCTGTACTGTTACGTTAATATTTAAGTGGTATTTTAGGGTGTTTTCGCGTTCTGACCCCTTATAGGGACCCCTTATTGGAACGCCACATAGCTTAAGCCACGTAAGACCTCGAGACCTTTCTAACGAAAGTTATTAATATATAGCCCTGTGGCCCCTTTTTCGGTTCAGTTGGATGGGGATTGAGGCCCTAAGGGCCCAAATATATGGGAGGGAGGTGGGGGGCTAGGAGGTAGGTTTTGCTTTGGGTCGATTTCTCTCTCTTTTTATCATTCATCTTTCTCTGTCTGTCTGAGGGTGAAGGATGGGGAGGGAAAGGGGGGGGGGGGTAGGTATTTGCTTTTGGTCTATTTTTCTCTTTCTCTTTTTCTTTCAGCAATTTCGGTGTCTCTTTTACTCATCCCTGTCTCGTCGTCTTTCTCAATCTCTCTCTCTAGTTAATGGGACTAGATTTTTTTAAATTATTTTCTTTTATTCGGTAGAGAATCCCATCTTATTCTGCGAAGGTAAGTCAGTAGTGAAAATGGATGACAGATAGATAGAGAGGGAAAGAAACATATGTATCTAGGTAGATAGAAAAATATAGCTAACAATTAGTGAGGATATGTTAGACATGGTTTCCCATCCAGGGGTGCGAGAAGTGTCCCCTTGAAGACAAGCAATTAATCTGTTCATTACTCATATCAAGAAACAAAAAAAAGATCCACTGAATTGAAAATTCATTGATAGAAACATTTTAAATTTAGTTCTTTGATTTTTACATGTACATATTTCAAGCAAGTGATATTTTTAATATGTTTTTGTTATCATATAATTAGAAAACGAAAAAGAATATTTTTTATTGTTCATCAAATTTAATATAAATTCACCTCCTTTATCTTTAAAAAGCTATAAATTTTAAGGGGGCTGCCATAACAGTAAAAGGAACCCTGCGCTAGGAAAAGTGAAAATCGGATATTGTCGGAAGAGATTGCGTCGACGGAAATGATCCTCCTCTCCCACGTGGAAAGTGAAGCTCTCTTCCTCTCCTCAGAATGCACGGCGAATCAGAGATGCACAAGGAGGAATGGATCCTGCTCAAGGAGGTCCTGTGGGAGCGGAGAGAAGGAGATTTACGGAGGCTGCGACGGTGCAAGATGCCACTGCTGCGCTCCAAAGACAAGAAAGGTGAGTCCATTATTTGGTAACATATATATATATATACATGTACATATATATATACACCTATATATGGATATAAATACATATATATAAATATTTATACACACACAGACACACACACATATATATATATATATATATATATATAAACATATATAAGCTTCCATATAAATGATCCCTAGAAATAAAAATAAACATAGGTATCTGAACTTAAACGATTGAAATGTAAAATAAGAGAAGCCTAGAATCAACATTCTTAAGAATTTAAATGTTTAAATAGACAACTTTTTTCTTTTCCTTTTCCTAGAATGCAAACCCAAGAAGCAATGTAAGTGGAAAGGCAGATACTGCACGACGGGAAAATGCAAAAACAACGAAAGGGTAATAAAACGCGCTTGTCAAGGGAAGAAATGCCGCTGCTGCGCCCCTGGTCGAGGTGAATATAGTGACAATAATGAAATTACGTGTCTCATTTTTATCATTATCATTATCACTGTTGTCTTGTATGATTTTTATTTATCTATTTGCTTGGTTATTATTATTATTATTATTATTATTATTTATTATTTATTTATTTTTATTTTTTTTACTGGTATTCCAATTACTGATATTATCATTCTGTGACTAGAGCTATAGGCATAACAATTATCTTTCTGTCGATATATATTGTTCTGTTCGATATCTTACATGTACAGATAATTATAAATAATCAAAAAAATAACCAAGAAATTGTATTTTTCCCCAGTTTGCAAGAGGAAGACTAAATGCAAGGAGAACAAGGGTTCCTGCAGACAGGGCCGTTGCAAGAGCTACGAGAAGGAAATATACGAGGGTTGCAAGGGCCTTCGCTGCCGGTGCTGCGCTCTCGACGGGTAAGCGTGGGTGGTGTTCCGATGAATATTCTTGCTATTTATGATTTGCTGTTGATGGCATTCGAACCCGGAAAAAGCAAACACAAAGTTATCACCACCGCCATCAACAACAATAACAAAAAACAATAAAACACACAGCATATCTTGCATGTTTCCCATACTTTCATCCTTGATTGGTAAGAAGCTTCCGGTATTTTTCCCGACTGTCTTTGTTTTATAGGAATGACACTAAAGGATTAATGTTGATGTTGCTTAAACTAAAATTCATGGCAACGATTTCATTCGCTAAAGATTTTTTCTCCTTTCAAACCTTTGTTCATGTCGTGAGTTGACAAATATTTTAGATTTATCGATTATAGTAAATTTGGATTCATGTTTGGCCTCAATTGATTTCATTGAATTAAACCTTACTGCAGCCTGCTTAATCAGACTAATCCAAAGTTACCCTCGATCTTCATAACTTTTCAGTAACAACAACAGTGCCTGTGACAACAACAGCGCCTGTGACAACAACAACGCCAGTGACAACAACAGCGCCTGTGACAACAACACCAGCGGGAACAACATAAATCCCACCTCTGCACGACAAGGCGGAACCGGACGAAGATTTGCAGAACCAGCGACAGAGGCTCATGTTCCCGTCAATTCTAAAACACTGTCATGTTCCCTTCTTTGCGAATTCTTAATGTGAAATTCCTAAAAGGCTGAAAATTGCTTGCATTTTTTCTTGTAAATTTTGAACTCGAAATTACCTATTGTTACAGAAGGATTAATATGTTGACTATTGCAATAATTCAATCAAGGAAGACAACGAATCCTTCGTTTCCATTACTTACGTGTTATTTTTCTAAAATAAACTGTGGGCACCCTTTTGTCTTGTGGCTATTGTGTGACTTGCACTGCATAATATTGATTTTTGTTACCCTTATTATCTAACAACCCTATGAAATATATGAGTAATATACCAGAGAAGAATTCACTAGAACTACTGGAGACTATGAAATCAATGCAAATGCATTTAACTCGATTTCTGCAAGATGGGTGAAAAACGCCGAAAAAAAGACCAGGCCCCGTTCAGACGAGCGATTTTAGTGGTCCGACTGCTCGAAGCGCGATTATTGAGTGATTGTTCACACACAACGCTTTCAGTGGCCCTAGTCGTCTCTCCCCCACTTTTTTTTCCTCTTCAGTCGCTGATCATACACAGCTGGTAATGGATTAGAAGAGGTGGCATATGTCTGGGTTTTATATCGTCGTTTGAAGTAGCGGAAGAGGAGACATAGACGTTATTGGGTTCATCCTATCTTAAATGACAGACTTACCCATAGAATGTTCTTCACATTGTATCCAAAGTTACAAACATGAACCCAAGTTATTTAATTACATGAGAATGTCCATCAAATCATTTGACAATCTGCTCTAACAAATACAGGATGACAGGCTGGGGAAAGCAGAAGTGACTGTCGCCCGTCTGTCTGCCTCCGCTCCACATGATGCTCTCTCACTGGTCTAATCCCACCCACTCCAGGCAATGAGGCGCGCCATCACCATGAAAACGCAGTGGCTGTCGCCTTGTGTGTGCGGCCGCATAGGTAACTCGTGTGGCTGAGCAGTCTTGCGACAGTGAGGGAGATCTCGAGTCGCACCACAGGCCAGTCACAAGTGTGCACTCCTATTCACTTCCATTGACCTAGCAGTCGCGCTTCTAGCAGACGCGGCACTAAAGTCGCTCGTCTGAACAGGGTCCAAGTTTCCTATTTAGAAGCAATTCATGTCTGGCCTAAATTGATTTTATCGAACCTTAAACCATACTGTAGCTTGTTTAAGCACTAAACCAATGCTACCCTCAATCTTCGTAACTTTTCAGTAAAAGCAGTCCCTGTAACAACAGCGCCAGTGAACACAAAAAAGTGTTGACAACAACAACCGCAAAGAAAGAAGAAAAAAAAAACGCTTGTTATAACAACAATAGGATCAGGTTCAACGGGAACAGCATGAGTCCCACCTCTGCACGACAAGGTGGAACCGGACGAAGATTTGCAGAACCAGCGGCAGAGGCTCATATTCCCGTCAAATCTAAAGCACTGTCATGTTCTCTTCTTTGCGATTTCTTAGTGTGAAGTTCCTAAAAGGCTGAAAATTGCTTATATTTTTTCTTGTAGATTTAGAACTTGAAATTTCCATTGTTACAGAAGGAGAAATATGTTAACACTATTTATTGCAATAATTCAAACAAGGAAGACAACGAATCATAAATAACACAACCATTCGTTCATTACTTGTTATTTTTTTTAAAAAAAATTAAGCTGTGGGCACCCTTTTTGTCTAGTGCTAATATGTGTGACGCACTGCATAAAATAGAATTTTATTACCCTTATTATCTAATAACCCTATGTATATAATATATATCAGAGGAAGAATTCACTAGAAGTACTGGAGACTAATAATCAGGAATATGACAGTGAGGACGAACAACTAGAAATATTTCTAGATTATAAAAAGCAAATGTAATTAAATTCTGCTATTTGGTTTCTCTAGTGACTGTGAAATACTGGTCTCCATGAGAAAGAAATAATACACAATTTCAAATCAAATAATACATAA